GTTCTAACATTTTACAAGGAACACTGGTTAGGGAAATTGGTCTGTAATTGAGAGGAGACTGTGTGTTACCAGATTTGTGCAGAGGGACCACCTTCCCCACCTTCCAGTCAAGCGGCAAAGTGGAGGTCTGAATAGATTGCGAAAAGATTAAGGACAAGTAAATTGATGAATACAATGCAGTGTTTTTTAGAAACTTTGAGTTGATTTCATCTACGCCACAAGAAGAGGATAACTTAAGCTTGTGAATTAAATTTTGCACTCCAACGGCATCAACGGTAACAGGATACATGGGTAAAAAATCACGACTAGGCATTTGCGGCAACGCAGAAGCAGAACAACTTGAAAAAGAAGTAACAAAAAAATCATTTAATGCAATGCAACACTCTTTACAGCGAACTGGCTGCCCATCTGAGTTCGTAAGCGAAATGTTTATCTTTTCCCTAGGTTTAACAGTTTTCCAAAACTTAGAAGGGTTGGTTACAAGAATTGAAGGAAGGGTATCATTAAGAAAAACGCGCTTGGCTTCCTTGATAGCTGCTCTGTATTCGGAAAGGACAGATTTGTACACGTGCCAACGGGCTAACGAATTAGTCTGCTTTGCCTGACGGAACAACCGTTTCTTTTTTTATTTAGGTTCATTTGTGTTATATTTAGGTTCATTTGTGTTAGACCGTTCGAAATGTTTTATTGATACTTTCTCCTTTTTTTCATGCACCTGCGTGTTCATTCGACCTTGACCCATTCGCATTTTGACACTGCCTTTAAGGGCCAAACCTTATAAGCGCGAAAATGCGCGCGACAGCGATGAGCGATGCGACGTAGATCGTCTTCGCGCGATCAGTCGCTAGCGCAGGCAAACCTCATTCACGCAACGGCTTCGGCTACCGAACTCCACTGTTGCTGGCATGAGGCCGTCTACTCGCACCAAAAAAACCACGTAGTGAGCGGTATGCAATTTAAAAATAAGATATATTGTTGGAACGGAAAGTGTTTATGAGTGCCTTGCAGCACTTTTTTTATATGCACATGCGTAAACATTGCGTTATTTCTTGTTGTGCATACGTGGCTCGGGCATGGTAACGTGCACCTATGTAGTCTTTGTCTTTTCCGGTTTTTCGCTATTGGCTGCTTGAGCCCAGCACTTCCGGGCGATGAGCGACGGTTTCCAAAACTGGAGAACCGAGCGATCACGCGAAAACGAGCACACGCGAACGCCCTGTTTCATCGCTCATTGCATCGCTCGTCGCTGTCGCGTGCATTTTCGCGCTTATGAGGTTTGCTCTTACTGTGTGAAAAGGGATTACTAAGCACGTATTTCTGTGTATTATTGTTGTGTTACTCTGTTCATATGGAAAGAAGTGGTGTTGTTTATATTGAAAGAAGCCATGTTGTATGATTTGATTGGTATACTAAGTATGACCCTTTCTGTTGTCCCACTGATGTGATTTGCCAAGTGTTTGCTCTAGTCTTGCTTTAGTCTGTTGGTGCCAAATAAACCCATTTGTTAGGCGTCACTTCTGTGTGGTGTTCATTCCTTGACTTAGTCCCATTGTGTCTTCCCACAGTGAATAATTTTACCTGAAATTCATATTTAGCGAGAATACTGTGTAAGTGCTTGGGGCTTTACCAGTATTATCTCGTTGAAGCACCACCTGTGAAGAAATGTATGTAAATGTGTCAAATTAATGCATTATTTAAAGGCTCTTGGTATTCTATTGCTAGGAAAAATTTTTTGTTAATTTAGTGTGCTACAGTTACAAATGCACATTTAGTTGTAATTAAAATATCTTTATTTTGAAGTCATTGATGCTGTGTTCTGGCATGCAATGAAATGTCAGGCACAAATTTATTTTTAGGTATGTTCATTTTGAACAAAATGTATACTTTTTAAATAGCTCACATGAAATATCACATTGAATGACTCGTTTAATGTGGTAGTAGCTTCGGTAAAGTGACCATATGCAACAGAACTGCGCAAAGTGAAGTTCACTGAGACTAGCTCTTTATATATTGCTCTTCCTTGCGAAAAATAAAAAAGTGTACACTGTTGTGTAAATAGTGCCTCGAAGGGTTATAGTGGCCAAAGGTTCCATAGTTACGTGCACTGGGGTCTTCAAGCCCTGCAGCATCTAGTAAAGCCGTTTTTCTCAATGGGACGTAATGCACAGAAAGAGATTTCATCAACACTCTCCTGAAGAAAATACCACCGAACTCTGGGCAAGCTTACATTAATTCGAATAGGACGATACGCTTCTACTAACAAAATAGATGCATAATTTTTGTAGCCCTAGAGAAATGCTTAAATGGTTTTAGAAAAAGAGAAAGTGTTTTAGTGCTTAAAAATCTTACAGAATTTTTTCAATTTAACTTGCATAATTACTGCAAAAATTAGCAGTGTTTATGAGAGTGTTCTTAAGATGATTCACTTTGCGGCAGTCGCATTTTTGATGGAGGCGAAATGCTTGAGGTTCATGTGCTTAGATTTGGGTGCATGTTAAAGAACATTGGGTAGTTGAAATTTTCGGAGCCTCTGCCGCGGCACCTCTGGTTTTGAGATGTGAAACTCTAAAAATTATGATCGTTACTGAAGGTGATTCAATAGCTGAAGAATTCAATTACCAGAAATGTCGTGGAAGTTGCTGAGAGAATATTTAAAAAAAAAGTTAATAGCTGCATATTATTGCTGAGACAACCTTATAACAATTACAACATGCTCTTGAATTTAAGCGAGAACTGAATTTCAAAGGTGCTTGCCAGAGGACTTTCACTTATGGTGAAAACATCTGCACCTATGCTAAACCGAAGTTCGGTGGGCAGACTAGATTGCTTTTTGTATTGACTTTCGTAAAGAGCTGGTGGATGCGTCGAAAGTCAGATAATTTGAGTAATTGGAGCTGAAAGAGACTACTTATGTGATGCCTCAGATTAACTGAAAAATCATTATTTCACCCATTACTGTTTGGAAATGGTAGTGAGAATGTCATTGAATCCCTGAGAAAAGTAACAGTGTCACCGGTAATGCATTACTGCGAGCACTGCACTAGTGTGGCCCCACAGCAGCGGCCAATTATGGTGACGATGTTGTGCTACTTAACCATGGCAGGCGGTGCTTGTCGCAGCTCTCCACATTTCTGTGGGCTGGTGCAATGGCGGCACCGAGCGGCTATCCTAGCTACTAGTAAAGAGAAAGGTGGTGAATTCATACCCCACCGCTGCCTTTGACGGTCATAAGGAGGCAGGAGGCAGCGATAAGTTGGCTCATACTACAAGGCACGTCAACTAAGCGGTTTAGTCAAGGTCACCGCTTGGCGTGGTTGCACTTGGATTCACCCGGCACATTCATGCCAGTACTGGAAACACTGATGGGATCGGCTGTACCCTTCATTTTTTAGTGCATTGCATCGCCTGCACTGCTGGGAAATTGGCCCCAGTATCTGCATGCTTCACTGCAAATGTCGTCGAAAGACGAGTCTTGCATGTGGAGAGAGTGAACAAAATGTTTATTTGACGTTCTGCACGAGAAAATTGTTGAATTTTATTCTCGAAGCGCTGCATTAGAGAGTCTCTATCTATGCAGCAAAGATGACCGAGTGCATCAAGGCACATTAGACACGAGCGCCATCTGGCAGTTGTCTTCGAAAATGAAAGAAGGTGTGCGCGACCACTGAGAAAAATGCGCGCCTGTCTTGGAGGCGCTAAGGTGTAGAGCGTAAAGCGACGGGCAGGTGCCACCACCGTGCCGTCTTAGCAAAGCGTTGGAAACACTTGCCCTTTTGAGCATCGCTTCGCATTGTCAGCGCAGTGTGATAAACGCTACGGTCTTTAGAATGACTTATGTGTGCCTTCTCTGATATAAAGACACACATACAAAATATTGACTTTTTGTTATGGTGCTTCAGATATGCACAATAATTGCTTTTTAATATACCAACGCACTAGTATGAACGCTGAAACTTGAGCAATATGGTGGGCGCTGCGGATGGGGTTAACCGTTTGGCACATCGTTACAGTGGACAGACAAATGTACAGACAAACAAAAATATAGATTAAAATTTTGGCGTCCAAAGTCCCCAAGAAAGACTATCGTCTTTAAAAGTGCAGCAGGGTTTAATCGGGCTGCTCTGCCATTGAAACACTGCATGGTTTTTGTAACGTGTCCCATTTTGAAAATGAGCCGTTGACTGTTGCATGCAGAGTATATTGGTGCCATGGTTGTAGAGGGTATCACTAAACTGCTTTCGATCTGCACCTGTGACACAGCTCCTACAGCTTATGCTGTGACCGTGCTGCTTGTTACATGCTGATCTTACATTTTTCCTGTGAAGGTCGTTATGACTCGCCAATTGTCGTTGCGGCGTCGTACACGAAAATTTCGGCACTGCTGGGTGTGCGGAAATGCGGCCCTCCGAGTTGCACCAGCCACAAGTGTGCTTGTGTTCACAGTTTTCCAGTAATTGACGCTGTCTCGATTGTGGCCTTGTTAGCAATCGCAGATTTTTGATACGACAGTGTGATCTTTTATCGAGCTCACTTGTCTTTTCACGTGCCAGACATTCATATTTTCCTAAGTGCGAACGCATAACCACCGTCATCGCCTGTAGCGGCTGATGTGTCGTTGAAGTTCCAGCTTCAGGCATGGAGAAAGAAAAAAGTAGGAAGAAAGAATGGCACAATGGGATATGCACAAAGAAAGCTAGAGCAGTAGTAGCATTCGTATGACATGCATGGATGTACCATGATTCACTTTCTCTTGTTTTTTCAATGGGGGAACAGCTTCTAAATTTTTCTTCAAAGGTCGTGGTCATCGGGAATTCTCGCAGTGGTAAATAGGCAAGCTTTACTGAAATCTGTGCTCCAATTACTAAAACATGGTTTTTGCATTGTGACGTATGCTAAACTGGGAACTCCTATGCTGTTTCCTTATTTAGATTTTCTCATTGTCGAAAATTCATTTGGGTACTTAACTGATGTGCTCTTTTCACATGCTCTTTGATCTGCAGGGACTCAGGTCGCGCAACTCGGGGACCTGAAGATGTTGAAACATCGGGCGACGCAGACCGACCCGTGGCTTGAGCGTTCCCCGCGGTTGCCCAAGGTTGTACGCAGGAAGCGAAGGCTCGACGAGGATGACACCGTCGACAAAGCCTGAGAGGATGGCCGTCACTGTTGCCACTCTCGGAAGCTGGCAGGATGCATGTTTTAATGCTTCTGGAAAGTATGTTAGTCTGCATCTTTCATTTTCTTCGTGTTATTTGTTTGGCTCTGTATTGCCTCTTTCGGTTCCCAGGAGTAAAAAAACACTAATTTGTGTTTCATTGTGTGAAAAGTATTCTAGGCTAACTGAAAACCTCAAACTTTATGTCTGAAAGACAACATTGGTGTAGTTCTCCGGCATTGAAGTTAGGCTGTCCAAAGAGAAGCTATATTGTGGGCTCAGGTTTTCAACGTTGAAGTTCACCGTCAGTGGGACACCTCTGCTCGTTCTGGTCAACTTTCTGGCTTGGAAGTTCTAAAAAAATGAGGAAATCAGGAAAGATACAACACATAATGTTTATGAGCATCAGCAATTTTTTAAATAAAGGAATGACCCCATCCTTTTTTTTTTACTTACCAGCTTTCGTAGTTCACAGATCATTGAAAGACATTATGGTCAGGCAGGAGCAGGAACAGTTTTCACATTGGTGTCGCAACACTAATTGAGTGGTTTCATTCATTAACAGCCACAATCATCTTTACGCAGTGGTGTAGTAATTCTGTGCTGCACAGCCCAACACTCGTTGCTCATTGGGTACACATGGGCGAAACGTGCTTGTCATCTCCGTTCTCTTTTTTTTTTTTTTTTTTGGGGTGGGGGGAGAGATCTCTGAAAACGACTGCATAGAATATCCTGTAGTCAATTTAAAAAGAACTGCTAGCCCATAGCTCATAACGGTAATTTTCTTCAAAACAGTTGCATGCATTTTGGCAAGTGCGGCTGATTCGATTCCATATGTGAGACACCAGAGAACTTTTGAGACTTCTTTGGACAAGGGATGTTCAACTTTGGCAGGAAGTTTGTATAACAGAACAGAGGCTTTATTTGTGGGATGTGCTACGAGAAACTGCTATAGTAAATTTTTGGCTTTCTGACCAAGTTTTCTGTAAATTGGATATTTCTTTTTTTAGATGTTGGATGCTTTCTGTCTTCTGGGGGAGAATTTTCAGCACTACCGCGTTGTCATGTTTCTTGCTTGGCGTTAGCAGATACGAACTTTCCAAGACACTCAAACTGCACTGTTTTAGCAAAGTATTCAATGATTGATTTAATTTCTGTTGTCTTACAGCCAGGCTTTCATTTTGCCCTTCGAAACAGTTTCAATGTTTTGCTTGGAACAAAGCACATTTGATAGGCACATATGTTATGGTTGCAGTATTCAGCTGTGTTACTAAATACATTGTGTATTTGTTCAGGCTGTCAAACTGCTTCATACCCTCTATTTCCTTCAGAGTGAAGCGAGAAAGCAATGAATGTGTGGATTCTTCCATAGTCACTGAGTGTGTGGATCGATGTCTGGAAATCAATGTCCTGTTCAATAAATGTTTTTCCTCATGGATAAATTGCTGTTTTCTCTCGTCCCTTTTTTAACAGTGCAATAACAATAGTTACCATTGCCTGCTTTGATCTAACATGCATGTTCTACAGCATTCTTGTCATATGTAGAAATGCCAAAAGATATCTGACCTCTGGAAAGCCTAAGATGAGAGGTAAGAATATGTGTGTGACCTGGTTGAGGGGCTCTATGACAGTACTTAAATCACCGTGGGAAGAGCAACTGCAGCGAAATAATGAGCTGCCTAAAAGGTCCACTTTCGTGCTATGTAGATATGCAAACACGAAGCACATAGATATGCAGCCAGGATTTTATTGAAGAAGGGGACTGGTGTCCTACATTACTGTTCGCATGTGCCACAAATTGCATGTTCTACATTTCAGGGGAGCAACCTTCTTCCGAAGTTGTGCAGCGGAAGCACAATTGGACGAGTCCCTATTCGTGTTTGTTGCACTTAACCTGCCTGAGTAGGTTGCCTTATCAGCTATCCCAAATCTAAGCCCTGGTTCTACTCTTTGTTTGTTGACTTCTGCTTGGCCTTTTCACCGTGCCAGTGTCGTGAGAGCTCGTGTTTTGACTAAGGGAGTGGAATGTTATTTTTGCGTTAGCGCACAGACGCCGTGCTTGTAGTTTTTTTTTTCTTTACAGTCTCTGAATATTTACCACAAATATAGGTATGACAGAACCACCCACATTCAATACGGCAGTTAGAGTGCATTTCTATTATTGATATCGTTGTTTGCAGTGCAATGGAAAACATCATTTTGGCTGGAAGGAGATATAATTTCTCAGAATTTGGGTAGAGAGCAGCAGCAATAAGCGCTGAATTGTCCTTTAAAGTTGTTGGACAATTTGGAGCAAATATGCACAGCTACGCTGCAGGTTGACAAGTCCACTGGCATAAATAGTCATCGCTTGGTTGAAATAGCATGCACTGCTCATTTGCGCCTGTGCACGATTGAATATCATTACTTTACGAGGGTTCTTCACAGTGGTCTGCCGCTTCCCAGGCCTGACAAAAGTTGGTTGAAGCTAGGGGCGAACTTCATTGAATTAGTACTATACTGGTGTTTGAAATTTTTTTCAGTATTCACTGAAAAAAAAAAAAAACGTTCCTCACTGCTATTAGCTCTTTCCTAATGTTTTGCATACGTAGTAAAATGGTGGCATAAGAAAGGTTACATGCATGTCGTTTCATCTTGCATAGGAAACCAGGATTCATTAAAAAGGATTACTCACCAGTAAGTGTTTGTAGCATTCGTTCCAACAGGTGTAACTGTGAAAGCACACTGTACAGTTCACAAATTCAGTCTTCTTGATTAATAATAATGAGACTGAAGGCTTCACACTAAGATAAGAACTATCCACTCTAGACACAGTATGACAGCACCTTTGCATGGTAATGAATTAGCATAAAATGTTAACCTGACAGTTTGACATGGTCTCCTTTGTGAACACATGTGGAACAATTATTCTGGGCTTGAGTGAAGTTTAATGCGGCATGTGCTATATTAGCTTGGTTTACCAGAAAGGGGTGCAAATTCGCCACGAACTTACAATCAACCACAAAAGTTTCACAGATCGCACATAGCCAAGTATGTTTTTACGAAATTTTTGTTGCGAGAGCAGCGCTACGCCTAAGATTCGTCCCTGCTGCTTAATTGATAGCCTGGCTATTTCTCACTGGGTGCAGTATTTTACACTTCTCTTTGACAGCTGTGGCTACGTAGCTTTGTCTGAGAGCAGGCTGTCGGTATAACGGTATAACCACTGGTGGGGGTAAGGTTGTACAATACTGTAGGTGAAGTGTTACTCTCCCTAAGCTCCTCGTTGGTTGAGTTTCGAGAAAAACAAGCTTCAATTTAGTGGAAACAGAAGTGAAGATGAAGCGATATGACGTGCTTCCTTTGTAACGACCTGCTTTTGGTCCCAGACTTTCTCGGGGTGAAATGGAGAGTAAACAGCTCGTGGAAAGCAACATCAGTGTTCCTCGGTTGCCACTATCTTCGAAAACCTGCATGGCGATAAACTTTCAAGGGGGTACCCCCTCCCCCTGGTTTGTTAAAAGAGGAAGGAGGAGCGCATAGTCTGCCCCATACATTTACTTAAGCAGGGGGGAGGGATTCTGTTATGCTGCACAGGCATATGACAATGGCTGTACCAGTCATGTCGATAGACTGCGCAATAGAGCACAGTGATATCTTTGATACTGCTATGAAAAAGTATGTGTGACGGTCATACTAAAGTCATTCCTACAAAAAAGTACCCCGTTTGCTTTCTCTTTGCCGCCGCGTGCTCCCCGCCCCGCTATGCTTGCGCGAACTCGTGATTCGCTTCTCGTGATCACGAGGTTATCTCTCGTCATGCTCGTCCATGGCTAGGGTGGCTAGAATGATGGGGGCGGTGGTTAGAAGAAGGCGCTTAATTTCTGAAGCCCGGTAGAGAGCACAGCGCAGCGCCGCTAGTATGGGGAGGTGTTAAAAGCGAGCTGTGTTTCCCCTGCCCCGAGGCGCCGCCTTGCGCCATCTCTCCCCTAGGCCAAAACATGGTGTGATAGTCGGAGGCTCTGCCACGTAACATGGCGGAGACGGTAGTGTAGGCTATCCAGTGGGAGCTCGTCAGCTTCGTGGGCATTCCGCGCCATATTACGAGTACTGCGTGTTAGTGTGCATCGAGAGGAGTGTCGTATATCAAGAAAACTCGAGTGTGTTTCGTGTCTGGCACTGCGATTTGGGGTGTCACTTTTCAGTGCGCCGGCATGTTGATAGACTGATATATTTTGAAGTGCATTCTTTGGCCTACTAATTCCATGCACTTGACGCTTTTGTGGAACTCTGCGTAAATCACAAATGAAATCAAAAGAAGCATTAGCAGCATAATCTGGCCGTCAGCTGTGATGAAATATTCGCATTATGCTGCATGACTGAATGAGGTTTCTCGCTCAAATCATAATCATCATCAGCCTGACTACGCCCACTGCTGGGCAAAGGCCTCTCCCATGATCCGCCAATCAACCCGACCTTGTGCTTTCGGCTGTCACGTTATACCTGCGAAATTTTTAACCTCATTAGCCCACCTAACTTTCTATCTCCCTTTCGTGTGTTTCCCTTTTAAGGGGGTCCGGTCAGTTATCGTTAATGAGCAGCAGTTATCCTGCCTACGTGCTACTTGCCCGGCCATGGCCATTTCTTTTTCTTGATTTCAGCCATGATATCCTTAACCCCGGTTTGTTTCCTGACCCACTCTGCTCTTTTCTTGTTTGTTAAAGTTACACCTACCATTGTCCTTGCCATTGCTCACTGTGTTGTCCTCAATTAAAGCTGAACCCTCTTTGTAAGCCTCCAGGTTTCTACTCTGTAGGTAAATACCGGCGAGATGCAGCTGTTGTATACCCTTCTCTTGAGGGTTAGTGGCAGATTACCATTTCATGATTTGAGAATGGATGCCCATTCTGATCCACCCCATCCTTATTTTTCTAGTTATTTCACTTTTATGGTTTGGCTCCGCGGTTACTACTTGTCCTAAGTAGACATATTTCTTTACAACTTCCAGCATCTTTCCACTTATTGCAAAGTGCTGTTTTCTGCCGAGATTGTTGCACATTACTTTAGTTTTGTGCATATTGATTTTAAGACATACTCTTCTGCTTTCTATGCCCAGTTCAATAATAATGAGCTGCAATTCGTCTCCTGAGTTACTCATCAAGCCAATGTCATCAGCAAATCGCAGGTTACTAAGATACTCTTCATTAACTCTTGTACCTAAATCTTCCTAATCTACAGCCCTGAAAACCTCCTGTAAACACGCGGTCAGTAGCATTGGCGAGATCGTGTCTCTCTGCCTTACACCCTTCTTTATTGGAAGACTGTTACTTTCTTTATGGAAAACAGTGGTGGCTGTGGATGCATTGCAGATTTTTTCCAGTATGTTTATTTAGGGTTTGTCGATGCCTTGATTCCATAGTGCCTGCATTACTGCTGATGTCTCAATTGAGTCAAACGCGTTCTTGTAATCTATGAAAACTATGTATAGATGTTGCTTGTATTCTACGCGATTCTCTATTACCTGTTTGATAATATGAATATAATCTATTGTGAAGTAGCCTGTATGAAACCCTGCTTGTTTCTTTGGTTGATCGCCTTAATTTTGTTAGCTATTACTTTTGGAAACAGTTTGTAGAGAACGAACAGTAAGCTGATCGGCCTGTAATTTTTCAAGTTCTTGACGTCTACTTTCTTATGGATTAAGATCATGTGTGCGTTATTCTAAGATTTTGGTACCCTTGTTGTCAAGAGACACTTCCTATATAAAATGGCCGTTTTTTTTAACACAATTTCTCCACCATCTTTTAGGAGGTCCCTTGTTACCTTACTCTCAGCAGCGGATTCGCCTCTTAGCATTCCTTTCAGGGATTTCCTTACTTTCCCTGTCATTACTAGGATAATGTTGAAATCAGCTGGTCTGTTATTGCATCTGTTTATATCATCCTGGTTGTTTCGGATTCTGTACAGCTCTCTGTAAAACTTGTCCTTCACCTCGACTATCCTATCCATATCTGTTGTGACATTTTCTTCCTTTCTCCTTCATGCATTAATCGGATTTTCGCCTATGCACAAGTTTGCCTTCGTAGCTTTTAGGCTTCTGCCGCGTTTACAGCCTGCTCAATTTCTCCCTGTTATGCCTTCTGATGTCGGCTACTTTGCACCTATTGATCAACTTGGAAAGCTCCATTAGCTTCATATTGTCGGTTGCATTTGAGGCTTTCATGGTTTGTAATGAGATATTCCGTCTCTTGAGATAGTTTTCCAGTGGCCTCTCTAGTGACTGTACCTCCGACTTCCGTTCTACACTCTTTGGTGATAAGATTATCATTCATTGTGTCAATGCTAGCATCGGTAACTCGTTTATAGCCTTGAATCTATTTGAAAGCGATACTCTGAATTTCTGTACTTTCTCTCTCACTGCTAGCTTATGAATTTACTTTTTTGCGTATCAGTTTATGCCTTT